TGCACTCACCAGACAGACAGAGAGAGACAGAAAGCAGGAAATCACCCCCCAGGGGGGATGGCCACGCCACAATTCCTTCTCCTCCATTCTCCTCTTGGGATCTTGGGCACACACGCACACGCGCCCGGCATGAGTTTAAGCCACCGGGTCTGGGACTCGAACTGAGGTCAACTATGTGGGAGTCCAGCGACATAGCCATTACACTAACTGCTGGTCCCGAGTTCAGAGAAAAGTTCTTGAACAAAGTGTTAAAGGTGAAGCATTGTAACTAGGAGCCAGGTGTCTTCTGAGGAAAGGCACAAAATTTAGTTGGAGATGAAGGATGGAAGTGGGCATGATCAAGTATACTCCCTCTGGAGTCCCTGTAGTCACTTGGGGATCCTTCCCCATGGGAGCTCCTGGGCTCTGATGGGGCATAGGGTGGGGTCCACCACTCACCCCCACTAGTAACTTTTGTAAGAAGTGTACCTCATTGGAGGTGTCTGTCCATAAACCTGATGCCTTTGTATGTGATGAACAAGAAGGGAAATGACACATGAGAAGTAATCCCATTTCTTGGAGATAAACCCTTGTAATTTGCACAGAACAAGCTCTCTACCATTTTATCCCTGGAGTGTTTTATGGCCCAGGGAAAGGAACATAGCAGTTGTTGCTTGACTCTTCTGACTGGGATTCCCATTTCCAGCCTTCCATCCTAATCAGCTCTCCCACTCCACTCCACATAATTATCACATAAATTAACAACATCAAAAATAAAGTTCCAATAGATCCTATAAAAACATATATTGTAACAAGTGATTATAAACAACTTTATAATAACTTTGGTAATTAGAACCAAATGGATACAAAGGTATATATACATTGATTCCATTTATATGAAGTGTGTACACACGCATATATGTGAATATATGATGAAATAATTCTATATGACACTAAGAAATGGCCAAGTCAATTTACAACTAAGAAACAATGTATGAATATCTGTCACCCCTACCTGCAACTTCAGAAATAATCTTGGAAAGTATATACTTTGCCTTGGAATTTATACTTCCAAGAACATGTTCTGCAGGAAAATTCACAGAGGTGAGTGTGTGTGTGTGTGTGTGTGTGTGTGTGTGTGTCTACATGTATATGTACACACAGTCATGCACCAAATAATGGTGATTGGGTCAACAGACTGCATACAATGGTTGTTCCTAAGATAATAATAGGCTATATACTATATGAGCCTAGTTGTGTAGTAGACTTGTGTTTGTGTAAGAACATTCTATGATGTTTTTAACAGTGACAAAATAGCCTAAAGATGCATGTCTCAAAATATTTCTCTGTCATTAAGTGATGCATGACTTATATGTGAAGGGGGAGGGAGAGAGAGAGAGGTGGTGGAGACTGCCTGGGACCATGTAACCAAAGAGAAATGTGGAAATCAGTGGCAGAAGGATGAAAGAAAGGAAGACCTTGGCATTCAACCTGGCTGGAGAAAGATATAAGGATGTGGAGGACTGAGGATGTAGAGAACAAAAGTAGAGGGACCACACAATGGGTTCCATGGTCTCTGCCTACAAGAGAACCTGGGAAACTTGGAAAGTCTGAATTGAACCAGATACTATAATTGTACAGTAACAAGTGAGACCATCTCTGTTTCTCACAGAGTCTGAGAAGGGCCTAGTCTGTCTGTCTCCTGGGTGAGACTGAAGCTTTTTGAAGTACAAGAGTTTGCCTTTGATGATTGAGACATTACATGGAAGAACAAGGTTGGTATAATTTGTAAACTGGTGGTCCTTCATAATAATAATATTATTGATAAGATTGTAGCCTGAAAACTTTGTACCAAAATTAATTTCTTTTTAAAATTATTTTATTTAACTTTATTTATTTATTTTAATTTGACCAGAGAGGGACAGAGAGAGAGAGAGAGAGAGAGAGACAGAGAAAGTTAGAAAGCAAGCCACCAGGTCAAAGACTCGAACCGTGGTAGACTATGTGGGAGTCCAGCACCCTTAGCCATCATACCACCCACCGGGCCCCAAAATTAATTTCAAAAATTATGCCTGCTCCTGAAAGAGCTCAGAGGCAGCATGGTTAGTGAAGTGCAATAGCCAAAATGCAACACAGCTTTGATTAAAGATGACTTCCTTATTTGCTCAGGAAATTCGCCTTTCTAAAAGACATGAAGAAACAGTATCACGAAGATTAACGTTACTTCTACAAGTGGAGAATAAATTTGGAGATCAAGACACAGAACCTAAAAGGAACCTTAGTCTTTTAAAGAACGTAGAAACAGTATAAAAGTCTCTACAGACCGAGATTCACCCTCTTCCATGCCCAAGGTGATTTCTCTTGAGACATATACTGGACATCAGTAGAAGAAAACATTCCCAAATGGGAACGGTTTCTTTTAGGAAGAGTACCATACCTACTGACATTTAAAATCAAAGTGAAGCAGAAAATATCATTCAAAATGAGGCCCAGTGATAACTCCTTCACATATTTGAAAAAAAACTATTTAATAAAGGTGAGTATTAAAGAGTATGTGGATAATTACAGAGACTGTAGGAATTGAATATGTTCATGTTGTTCTATTGCCTCCTAAATAACACAGAAGATATGAAAAATCTACTGGGCAGCCTCAGGTTATTACTTACTATTTTAAAGTCATGAACTTTCTTTCTGCCAAACTCATAGAAGAGTTGAAAATCAATATTAAAAACTGGACTGTTTATTACAAAAATTATGCCTTCTCGTTGTCTAAACTGCAAACATTACAAAGTATGGGAAAAAGTAGATGTGTAGATGTCTTGTTCAATTCTTGCCTGCAATATGTAACTGCTAACTTCCACTCATTAAGAAAGATCCCACAGAACTGGTCATAATGAGATTTGAATTGTTTGTTTAGAAGTGAAAATAAATGGCTGAACCTCCTCAAGAACATGGACATGTGTCAGCTGAGGAACGAGCTGGCCAGACAGGCTGACTTTCTTTCTTCCTGCACATGCTGACATGAGAGTCCTCAGACAGTGAACCTTCAGGGTCAGGATGACTGATGGGAAGACGGAAGCATGGTGAGAACTGTGGGAAGGCCCATTTCCCATTTGCCTGTGTGTGCATCATAAAACTGATCATGGTATGGTCTTTGAAAATGTTTGAATGATTGGGATAAGATGTAAGATACATGAGTCCTCACCTTCTTTCCTTGCAGAGCACTCACTAGCCTGTTGACATTCCCTGCAAAGCTTCTGTTGCTTCAGGTGATGTGCTTGCTTCTGTGGTTTCTAGGTGGAGCGTCTGACACTGTCTCCAAAAGCCAATCCCTGGAAGTAGTGCGTGTCCTTTGTCATCATGGTTTATTGACCAACTACTTATGGAGGGAAGCCAGATGTATCTGCATTGTCCAGCCAGGGATGGACATGGCGAGAGGATGGGGAAACCCTCAGGGCCTTTCAGTTCTGGTCCTCTCATTGACTCATGACTGGGGCAGGGGATAAAAATTCTATGGTGTACAACATACAACATGAAACATTACTCTTTATTGTGAAAATAAACAGCAACCATGAGTAGGGAAAACAAACAGACAACTGGCCGTTCAAGTGGTTATGTTACCTGGCCTAAAAGGGCACATTGGCTTCTTGGTCACCTAGGCCTCCAACCCTAGTCATGGACATGGCTTTAGGTTGGTGAAAAGAGAAACAAAGATGATGTGGGTGAAAATGAAGATGATGATGATATCCAAGGGCTCCTTTTAAGGAATTTGCTTGAAGGCCTCCTCTGGGATCTTGCTCTCAGTCTGAAAGGATAAAGTTGGGATGTCAGAAGAGCCAGATGTCCTGAATTCCATCCTCAGGCCACTTGGCCTCCACTTAACTGGCCTTCCTGAAGGCCCAGAGACATCCATCTTTTACCCACTTGATTCTCCTTCCTCACCTGGAACATAGTGAAGACCTGACCAGCTCTGGTGTAATCCCACTCATTATCCTGAAGGCACCTGTGGTGGGAGAAGAGATGGATCTCCATTACTACCATAGTACAGAATGCTGATCACAAAATGCCACCACAATAGCTATGATACTTTTTTGCTGGGACCTATGTACCAGTATGAGCACTATGGTAATGATGAAGAATGACCTAGCAAAATCCAAAATGTTTGCAAGCAATGTATAGTAATGATCAAAGTTCATTATTTTGTATGTTGCTATCTAGTTGCCTAAAATCCATTTGTTGAAAAGACTATTTTTTCTTCATTACATTTTTTTTGTACCTGATTGTAAATCAACTGACCATAAATGTCAGAATTTATTTTGGGACTCTTCTAATGCATTGACCTATTGGTCTGTCAGAAAAGCCATGATGCATTTTTTTGTTTTTCTGTGCAAAAATGTGTCATGATTTTTCTGATGACTCAACATATATCTATCCAAATGCCAATACCATGCAGTCTTGATTACATCAGCTTTGTAATCAGTCTTGAAACAGAAAAGTGTGAGTCCACCAACTGTGTTATTATATTTCAAAACTGTTTTGATTATTATGAGTCATAGCTTTTCCATACACATTTTAGGATCACCTTGTCAATTTCTGGAAAGAAGCCAGTTGAGATTTTGCTAGGGAATGTGTTCAATCTGTAGACCACTTTTAGTGTAGACAATTAAGACGGTTACCTTAAGACAGTTTGACATACAAGATTTTGATGTTATGATGTGTTAAAGCCATATGCATTGTGGAGAAGCCATACTTCAACTTTTGAATTTTGATCTTTTTTAGAGCTAGCAATATGAAGTGTGATATTTTATCACAATGCTGGGCAGCAGTAACAAGATGATTTCCAGTCAGTCACACAATTATGATGGCAAACAACCAATCATTTGCAGTGTGTTCTGTTGCCAGAATTTTTTAAAAAGATTTTTGCCATAGGGCACATGTGCTTGCTAAAGATAGACAGAGACAGAGAGAAAAGACAAGAAACCATTCCCTGGAGGGGATGGCCACATCACAATCTCTTCTCTATTCTCTTGGGATTTTGGGCACGCGCACACACACACACGCCTGGCATGTTTTCAAGCTGCCAGGTTTGGGATTTGAACTGCAGAGTAGGCCCTTCCCCGTGATAAGACCCCTACTACATGTTTGGCCCTGTGACAATGACTTTACAAGCTCACTTGATTCCTGTTTCAGAGTATTATTAACCTTAACCATTATGCCACTTGCTGTCCCACCAGCATTTTTTGATGTTGCATTTTGTATTTTTGCATCTCATCATGTGTACAAAATGCCCGATTTTGACTTACAATATTTTCAATTCACAATAGATTTATTGAGATATAATCCTACTTTAAGTCCGGTAGCATCCATATTACCATCTTCACAATAATAGTCTTCAAATCCATGAAGATGGCGTATCTGTCCATTTTAGGTCTTTTTATTTAATTGTTGGAAAGTGTGTGTGCTCACCAGAGAAAGAGAGAGAAAGCTCCCCTTAATAGAGCGTGATTAAACTGCAATAACAGTTGCTCCACTTCTCCATCCTGTTGGATTCTAGGGCATGCATACATGTGTATTTGGAGTACTTTTCAAGTTGTTGGGTCCTGGATTTGAACCACAAGTCAGCCATGTGGGATCAGCTCCCTTAACCTCTAGGTTATGGGGTTGGCCCTAAGTTTTTTTATTTTAAAATGTTTTACACGTTACTAAATATAAGCTTTGCACTTCTTTAGTTATACTTCTTTTTAAGTATTTATTCTTTTATTTAAGAGAGATTTTTGCTATAGGGCATGTGTGCTCACTGGAGAGAGACAGAAAGACAAAATGCAAGACATCATCCCCTGGGGTATGGTCTCACTGCAATCCCTTCTTCTCCATTCTTCTCTCAGGATCTTGAATAACACACACATGCGCCCTATGTGAGTTTTATGGCCCCAGGTCCAGGACTCGAACTGTGGTCAACTACATCATAGTCCAATGACATAACCATTGCACCATCTGCTGGTCCTGTATTTATTCTTTTTGATACTATTATAAATGGAATTATTTTCTTAATTTCCTTTTTGGATTGTTCAATGTAAGTGCATAGAAATGAAAATTATTTATATATATAAATCTTATATCCTGAATCTTTGTTGAATTTATCACATCTAGTAGTTTCTTTTTTTTTTTCTTTTTAAGAAGTTTTTGCTATAGGGCTCATGCACTCACCAGACAGACAGAGAGAGACAGAGAGACAGAAAGCGAGAAATCACCCCCCCAGGGGGATGGCCACGCTGCAATCCCTTCTCCTCTATTCTCCTCTCGGGATCTGGAGCACGCACGCACACGCACCTGGCATGAGTTTTAAGCCACCAGGTCCGGGACGCAAACTGTGGTCGACTACAAGGGAGTCCAGTGACATAGCCATTACACTAACTGCTGGTCCCAACCTCTAGTAGTTTATTAGTAGATTCCTCAGGATTTTTGATATACAAGATCATGTCAGCTGAACATTATGTTGTTTTAAAGTTTATTTACAAATATCATAACAAAATTAGGACAGCCTTTTATGGTCCTACTTTATTTGGGAAGTAAAATATCCAAATATTTATTTTTCCAAATTGCCTTCTATTTCCCAGTATTCACTCCTGTTCCTCTCAGACCATGCCATTCCTGTGCACACCTAGCACTCACTTCTGAGACCACTCGAGGTTCATTCCAGACTGGGTGGAGAAAGTCTGCACCATTTCCTGCTGCTCTTGGGAGAGGGCAGGGACATAGCTAGAGCAGGGTGTAGGCACTGGGATGGAGTAGGCACTCTGGGTCTCCTTGGAGCTGGCATTTCTCACAATCAGCTCATCGTTCATGATGTACAACCTGGAGGAGAGATGGGCCCTCAGACAACTTACAAGGTAGACAACCTCACACACCCCAACAATGATCCTAAACTCACTGCCACTCAGTAACAAGATTCCTTTCATACTCTGACTGTGCCCGGCTCTCAGATTCCTTGGCTGGTATCCTTTAACCTTCCCACGTAGCCCACCTTCAGGGAGAATGTCTACCATCTTCAGTAGAGTTGTAGATTTAACTCCATTGCATTTACCTTGCACAGCAGTTCAAAAAGAAGACATTCTAATCCCCATTTTCATATAAAAACAGTGAGGCAGAGACAGGTCATGTGACTTGACCTATGTCACACAGCCAGTGAGTATTAGAGTCAGGAAGATAATTCAGTATACCAACCCCAGAGCCTATGCTCTAAACTATCAGGATAGACTACGTCTTGAATCTACCTTTTGGCTTTTCATAAACCCTGAGGACTGCAAAGCCACATTCCCACATCACCAGCCCCAGGCTGTATAGATGATCCCACCCATAACATAGCACTGACCTGGAATTGCTGGCCAGGGTAGAGGTGAATGTCCGGGTGAAGGCATGGATGCATCCTTGATAATTTCCTTCCACTATAAGAACAACAAACAACATCCTCTTAGGGTTGCACATGCTTTACACACTTCCATGGTATTCCCCAACCAGGTGCTCTTGCTTGATACACTGAAAGGGGCCACACCAGAACAACTGCTCAGGAGGGTATGGCACAAATGGAGAATACATCAACAGGAACAATTCTCTCCTCATGAAAAGGCCCCTATTATATGTTGGGCCCTATGATGACGACTTTACAAACTTGCATGACTTTTATTTTCACAGTATTAATAGCCTAATTTTGTAAATGAGGAAACCAAAGGTTGAATTAGCTGACCCAAGGTCACAGAGTAACCTGGGATGAGTACCCTCAGATTCCATAGTCCATGTCCCTAATGCCTAAGCTATGCAGAATTGACAGGCATGTACCTAGGTCAGACTAGGACGCTTTGTGGGCAGAACACAGAGGGAAGAACAGGAAGGCAATGAACAGAATAGGGAGGCTAAGAGAGTTCGTAGAGGAAGCACAAACGGGGAGGGGTCACGGGGGGATATTGAGAGAAGACTATATGAACACTCACCTTCCTTGAATACTCCATTGACAGAAAAGCAAACCATCATTTCCTGAAAGGGAAGAACTCAGGTGCTAAGGATTCCCTTTACCTCCTCCCCACCTTGGATCCTCCTGGTCTGCCTTCGAGAGGAGGCAAGGGCTCACCGTGTGGAACCACATATCCACCAGGAAGGAGCTGAGATCATGCTGAGTTTTGGGCAGCATGTTGAGGGTGTTCACAATGTCACATTTTGTGTGCTTCAGCAACTGCCTCTGCAGGTCTGTGGCAGGAAGTGAGGTGAAGATGAAGGGCAGTAACACCCTAGTCATGGCCCCCCTGACTGGCCCTTCACACCTACTAACTACCCTGCCCACTCTTGCCCATACACACTTACAGGGATTCTTGTGCTTCCTGCTTCCATTGAAGTACTCACACAAACTGCTGATAGGAGGAAAAGAGGATCAGAAGGTGGTAGTCCAGCCAATGTGGATGTTTCCAGGAACTGGTCTGGGTCTTCTGGGGACCCACATGGCCTCTGGTCAGTGTAAGCTGTGATACTCACGGGCCTGGGTTCTCAGGGTTGAAGGGAATGGTCAGGGAGAAGCAGGCCTCATCATGGTAAGCATCAAGGAGACCCTGTCGGTCTCCAGAGTCATAGATCAAGAAATACCTGTGGGGGAACGAGGAGGACAGGCTATCTCTATGGTCTGGGCTCCAAATGAGACTTGAACACTCCTTCAAACCATGAGAATATCTGTGACTGGATGGCCCAGCCCATCCAGCCCTCCAACTCGTGGTCTCAGGGGCACTTACTGCTGCAGGAATTGCAGGACAAGATTCTTCAGCATCTCAGATCCTTTATAACTTTCCTGAAATCAAAAGGCAACTTAGACCCATGCAGCTAACAAACTCTCCTTTGCAACACCCCAAATCTTGCTTGGTCCTCTTCCTTACCATGCAGGGTTTAAATAACTCAGTGGTTTCCATGTCTGTGATAACTGGTATAAGTAACTCTTGTCCATCCTGGACAAGGGAAGAAAAGATAAGCAGTTGAGACCAGTAAAGTAGCATCAGATGACCAATGAGTTAAATGGGCCTAGGAGGAAAGAAGGGTCAGAAGCCACATGTGAAATGGCCCTGAAAATTCTCTGAGGAAGTTTACAGTGAGCACCTTCATCATGGGGTCCTGAAAATTTCTACCATTACATGCAACTTTGTGTGTGTGGTGCGTGTGTGTGTGTATGTGTGTGTGTGTGTGTGAACATCTTTCCATGGATGATCTCCAAGATGTTTTCAGGAATCCTTATCCTCTAAAATGCATGAGGGTCTTAGGTATATATACGGTAATCTATGCAAGACCCAAAGAAGTTAAAGGCAGATGTGGAGGTCATGTACATATTTAAGGGGAGACAACAATGAAGTCAAGGACTTACCAGGCATAACAGCTTGGGGAAACAATCTCGGATGGCACTGTCCAACACCAGCAATGGAAAGAAATAGTGGACTATTCAAGATTGCACAGCCTCCATGCTTCCCTCTCTTCTTCCTTCCTTCTTTCCCTCTTTCCCCCATGGGAGGCTCCAGAGGGAGGAGGAAGTAGAGTGGGAGCCCAGGGCTCTGCTCCCTCTCTTGAGGTCCAGCATTCTGCCAGACCTAGCCTAGCCAAGAGCAGGTCAACCCCCAGGGATGGCCCAGGATGCTGAAGCAGGAAGGAGGGGGAGGTAGGGCTCAGGGACCAGGGAGGGGAAGACAGAGGATAGCCACAGAAAGGGAATGAAGGGAAATACGGGGAGATCTGGAGAGTACAGACAAAGGAGAAAGGGAAAAGGAAAAACGCTTGACCATGCTGGTGGGGGTCAGGGAGGAAGAGGGAAGGAAATGGCTCTCCTACTGCAGCCTTTTCCTTTACCTGCTCCTGGTTGGCCCTGGGGCTCCAGGTAGGAAAGGAAAAAATGCATCTGTCAGGCTGGGGCCCAGTGCACGTAGGTCGAGCCTTTTTTCATCTGTGTGAGCTCAGTCTGTATTGGGCATAGGACATGGAGCAGCCACAGGACATGAGACCTTCCCCAAGAGAGTAAAGGGCCAGTTCCCAGTTCTGTGTGGGGTGGAGTGTCTGGGGCTACCCAGGACACCCATGAAGGACCAGGCAGGATGATGTGGTGACATATGGAAGAAAGGAGGGGCAATGCCGTAAGAGACCTTCTGTCTCCTCAACCTTTGCCTTCTGCCATCCACTCCTGACTCAGAGAACACAGGTTTTTCCCCAAGGAAGGCCTGGGTCCTGGCACTGGACCAGAGGAATGGCTATCATGACGGTAGTCACCCAGGGCCTCAGCTCTCACCACAGGGCAGGAAGGCCACCCTGTCAGCTGGGGCCAAGTAAAGGGATTTTTTTTGAAGCAAGGGAAGGAGGATCCTGCTCAAGATAGGTGAGAAAAGCCCCATCTCAGCATATACACAGAAAGACCTGTCTCAGCATGAGGCCCTGGGCTGGAGGACCCTTTCCCAGTGCAGGGCTCCAGCATCTGACTCACAGCTGAGCACCCACAATGCTGGTGAGGAGGGGGAACTCTGATTTCTGGAGCACAATCATGGAGGGCAGGCTGGGGGAGGCTTGGTGTAGAGGTGAGAAACACACGGCAGACCAGGAGAACAGGTGAGCAGGTTAAGGGACAGAGAGGAGAGGTGGGCCTGTGGTCCTCCCAGAGGTCCAGAGCTGCCTCCTCCTACAGATGGCACTGTCAGGGCAACATGGGCCCTGAGAATGCATGGGTGCCCAGGAGGGTGTCAGGGCTCAGCACTGACCTTACATAGGCAGATCGGTCTGGGAAGGTGCGGCACAAGGGGTTCCCTTCCAGCCATAGCTCTTGGAGCTTCAGCCCTTTCACCTTGTCCAGCTCCCGCACTGACTTCAGCTGAGAAAGATGGGGGGAAATTAGAAAAGGAGTCCCAGAGAAAGAAAAGCATCCCCGCTCTGATCCCCCAGCCATCATCCTCATTCATAGGCCTTGCCATCTCCCCTACGTGCACTATCACCCACCCTCAACCCAAATCTTATTTGCCTCCCTCTTCTCACCTCATTTTTTGAAAGGTTCAGGATCTTGACCCTGGGGGCCTTCTCTGTAATGTCGGACAAGCCATCCAGCTGGTACAGTTTGTTATCTTGCAAGTTTAAGGACAACAGCTTTTTTCAAAGAAGAGTTAAAATTAAGGTTGCTATTTAGAGGTGGAGAGAAATCTGCCTTCCAGCCCATCTTTTCCACCCCTCTGCATAAATACCAGCACTGGGCCTAAGGCCTGACCTCAGGGAAATTCCTTTCAATGATTTTCAGGGTGGCAGCCATGCAGTTTCTCCGATTCAGGATTATGTCAATATCATGTCCCATCAAGTCTTTAGGAAGCCAAGAAAATGGAATTAGAAAGCTAAGAGGGGTTCAGCTGTACAAACACCAATGCCAACTCCTCCCCAAGTTGCCATCCCTAAGTCTCCGTCCTAGGGTGATCTTTCTACCCTCACCTGCCCTAAAATTACTCCTGTCAGTCATACCTGGGTCAAATCGGAGCCTTTTGAGGTTAAGAGCTTGGTGGAAGACATCATATCTTTTATCCATAGTCAGCTGCAGAGATAGAATTGGACAAAGTGCCTCTGAGGCTGTGTTAGTGGTGGTGACAGGGGGGCAGGGAAAGAAAAGGTGGGTTTTGGAATTGGCACACAATGTGTTTTGAGTCTGCATTACTTTTAGCTGCTCCATTTGTTCTGGCTTCAACTTATTCTGCACAGAGTAAGGTGCATCAGAAGGACTGACGAAGATAAATATCTGTAAGAAGGAAAGATGGAGTAAGCACCAAGACCTCTTATCTTCAAGACAATGACTATCCCCTGGCCTGTCCTCCAGTACTAGGTACAGGGAATACCCGTGGCACACACCTTTCGGCTCTCTTCATCGCAAATCCTGTAGTTGATTTCTTTTAATGCAGTGGAAGTACTAGCATTCTGGACAAAGAATCGGGCCTGATTTCTGATGTAGTGGAACTACAGAGAATATAGACAAAAGCTATAATGTCATAATCCAACAGCCCCTGCTGAATCAATTCTCTCCCAGTCCCCTGGGCCCACTCATATGGCTTCACATCTTTTCTTACATCAACTGGGATGAAAGGGACACTGCAATAGCTCTGGATTGAACTCATGAGCCATGTCTTGTCATACTTTCTCCCATGTGGAATCTATGGGTTAGAAGAAGGGATGGGAAAGAATAGATACAACATGGAATTAAGGATGGAAAACAGATCCAACCAAGTGCTCTTTTCCAATATTCTATGTAGCTATATAGAACCTTTAGAGAAGAAAACATTGATGTTCTTTTTTTTGGGTACCAAATATGGGCCCCTAACTCCCCTTTCTCTTCATCTAGCTTTCCTCCAAAAAATAAACTTAAGGTGTTAGAGCCAGCAGGTGTTATAGTGTTTAAGGTACTGTACTCCCACATGGCCAACTCTGGTTTGAGTCTTGGACCTGGTGGCTTGAACTCACAGGTGCATGTGCATGTGTGCCCAAAATCTCGAAAGGAGAATGGAAGAGAAGGGATTGCAATGTGGCTATCCCCTGGGGGGGGATTTCTCACTTTTCTGTCTCACTGGTGAGCACACACACCCTATAGCAAAAAAATCACTCAAAACTAAAAACCAACCTAAGGTATTTACTGTAATCTTCCTTCTATAAGGTTCCAGTATATTCTACCTAGCGCAAACCTTGCTACAACACTCACTGTGACCCTGAACCAACTCTTCATGGTTCCATCTTGTGTGTTCTCTCTCATTTCTCTCTCTGGAGGTTTTGTATCTCTCCATACAGTAACATGGATACAGTCTTCATTATTCCATTTCACTCTCCTCTTGTCAGATTGGGTGCTACGGAGAAGAGGAGAGAAGGAGGGTGTCTAAAAATGTGAAGAAAGTCTACAAATTCTCTCCTCACCGATACCAGAAATACAACTAGTATTGATCAACTATTATTCCATTTCCAGTATTATTCAGTTTCCCAGCAAGAAAGAAAAAGACAACTTTAGAGAGTAAGAGATGCACAGTCTCAGAGGCTGCTACATGCAAAGCAGGCTGCCTGGTCACTTACTGTCTTACTTGAGGGTCTTCAAAAGCATTGCTCATTGCCATGTTTCCATCACCTTCCTGGAGATGTGAAGGCAGAAGTTCATCCTCTCTATGTTCACAAGATAATTTACTCTTGCCAAATTTATCCTGGAAAGAACTCCTATATCTCTTCCTTCCTTGAGGAGAACTACCACTATCATCACATTCTGAAATTGGGAATAAAAATTAGAGTCAAAATATAATTGTAAATTTAACTGTCCTTTCAGCTCCATCAACATTTTGTGTATGTTGAGGCTCTCATGATTTGTGCACACACACACTTAGGATTGTTATGTCTTCCTGGTGCACTGATTCTTTAACTTTCTTTACTCTGATGTCTAGTTTATTGGATAATGTAGCCTCAGGTAGGGGTAGGTAGTATTTTGCCTATTTCACCCTGAATTTACTCCTTGGAATTGTGTTGCTATTCACTGCACACACTCCCTGTCAACATATCTAATTCACCATGTGGCAAGATTTGTCAGTTTCTTTGTGTATCTACCGAAATAAAATAGTTCCCATTTTCTCTCCCATAGGTAAATTCACTAAGGATTTTTTTTTTGCATAGTAAATTGAAAAAACATGTATGATCAGATGGTAATATTAGTGGTTTGAGAGGATGGGGATTAAGGTAACTAGATTATTAGAAATCAGCTTCCCTTAGGGTCTAACTTTTAAGGTTCTCTTGGGTTCGTTTGTTATACACTTTGTACATTAATTGCTCCACTTTGTCTCACGGCATACTTATGAATAAAAATTCGTTTGCCGTTGATCCTTTCAGGATGTACTGATTATGACCAGTCCTCAGATTAACTCTTCTGGGGAAGTCACTGCTTTCATGGTGTGACCCAGGGTCAGGAAAGTCCTACTATTCACAACCTTCAAGAGCTCCTCCGTGTGGCACTGGAAGTGAAATTAAACATGAGTAGAGCTTTTGACCTGGACGTTCCACTTATTCAGTCTCAGTAACTTGGAGTGGCCTTGAGTTCTATCTCACACTACACTTGTAACTTACCAGGAAATTATCTTGACTCTGCCTTCAAAATATATCTAGAGTCTAGTAACTTATCACCCTCCCATTGTTAACACCTGGCTGGGTCACCAATATCCATCTCCTACATTAAATTGCCTTCCAACTCACCTCACTGCTTTTTCACTTGCTCATTACCATCTTTTTTTACATAGCAAGCACCACGATTTTTTAAAAGCAGGAAAATTGCATCTGCAGTCCATTGTCAGATCATGAACATTAGGCACACAGAGATTTGATAGTTTCCAGAATTTCTCAGCCAAATAAGTGGTGGACAGGAATTGTGTCCTCACTTATAGATCTGCTTCCACACCCTAAGCGTTCTTCCAGCATGTGCACTGGTTCTCTGCAACTTTCATGATCTCATTGTACATTTTTGCAAACAGTGGTGACAGAAGTGAGGAGACATTTTCCTCGAATCCAGCTAACACAATTTTCTGGCTATCTGGTGTGCATAGGAAAAATGCTCCAGAACTGCAGGTATGGTTTTTCAGTCTTGTGCCAGACATAAAGTACTGCCATTGTCTCAAAGAAGGTAAGTACAATTTCATGCACAAATGAAGTTGTGTTTTTCTACATGTACTAATATATTATATTCTTTTATAATGAGGCTACATGTACTCCAAATCATTATGGAAAATACATTGCTGCACAAAACTGGATTCCACTGCACATTTTCTTGTTGCGTGTTACATATGGGTAAATTTGATTCCTTCTTCTGAGTACACATTCTTTTTTACATATTTGTGTTTTGATATTGGGATTGATTTTTTTAAAAGTTTATTTATTTCTTCCATGAGAGAGAGAAAGACAGACAGGCACCCCCAACAGGGTCCTCATGCTATGATCCACCCCCCAACCCCAGCCATTCCAGATAAGGGGCATGCACATGCATATCTCCAGCACACACAGGAGGCCTTGGGATGTGAACTCTAGATCCTTCCATGTGGTTCCAGAATCAGAGTGTTGTATTACCATTGCACCACCAGTTGGCTCATAAACTGATTGTTTTTAGTGAAGAAAGTAATAGAGAGGCCAGCTGACGGCAAAGCAGTTACATCACTGGACTCCCACATGGCAGACCGTGGTTTGAGTCCTCAACCGGTGGCTTGAAAATCACACTGGGCATGTGTGCGTGTGTGCCCAAGATCCCAGGAAGAGAATGGAGAAGAAGGGATTGCAGTATGGCCATTCCCCCACCCCGCCCCGGAGGGTGATTTCTCACTTTCCCTCTCACTGTCTCCATCTCTCTCTCTCTCTCCAGTGAGTGTATGCACTCTAAGGCAAAAACTCAAAAAAAAACAAAAAACAAAAAAAAAACCACAATGTAATTGATTTCCCTGTACAGAAAAAAATAATGGAATAACACTCATGCATTGACCAAGATTATAGACCATTCCTGGGGTGGAGGACAAAGAACCGAGTGGAGGAGAGCTTGAGATTCAAATTCTGCAGCTTCTCAGGAGAAGTACATGGATATTTTCAAATGTAAGAGATATTTTTCTTTTTTCTTTCTTTCTTTCTTTTTTGGAGAGGTTTTTGCTATAGGGCACAGGCACTCGCCAGAAAGACAGAGAGACAGAGAGACAGTAAGTGAGAAATCACACCCAGGGGGGATGGCCACACTGCAATCCCTTCTTCTCCATTCTTCTCTTCGGTTCTTGGGGAAGCATGCACACACGCCTGGTGTGAGTTTAAGCTACCAGGCCCAGGACTCAAACCATGGTCAACTACATGAGAGTCCAATGACATAGCCATTATGCCATCAGCTGGTCCCAATAAGAGGTATTTTCCTAAGGATATTTAATAACATTTTCACCAATATGCATTTCCATTGTGTATGAGAGTTTAATTACCTAAAGAATAATAAACCAGTCAAAAGTCATTCTTTTGCTAATATTCAAGACACTTGCTTTTTAAATTTGTCATACAAAATGTTCTCTCCTTAAATATATAGTGTACCTATAATTATATGGATCTGCTCTACAGGCTGTTTGGGACAGAAGGATGATGGAACCAGAAAGTGGTTTACATTGTCAAGAGAAGGGTAAAAATGATTATCTGTGGAATCAAGTATAAATGGGATAGAAGAACCATGAATGAATACATGACGTGCAAAGTGACAATGTCAAGGCATGGATGTGTAGATTTGAAAGATGAAAGTGAGTAATAGGAAGAGAAAGAAAGACACTTTGAAAAAGCCTCTGAGGAACTGAATTCATCCCGGAGATACGTATCCCTTGGGGAACCTTACTTTCTTTCCATGTGTATCCCCTTTGTCTCTGTTACTTCACCTTTAAGATGCAACAGTTCCTACAGAGTCTGAGAAAGGAGATATGGTACATAAGAACAGTGTGCAATGATTGATATCTTGAATAGAAAGCTGGAGTCAGAACATTAGTTCTAGACACCACGTCATCCTTGCCCACTGGACTTTAAGTAAGCCTGTGTCGAAACTCATTTCAGCCCTAACACAGACTCATACATTCTTGGTTATGGGCATGGAATTTGAGGTCAGATCAATCAGGATTTGAACTCTGATGATAAATTCTGTACTCTAAGGCAAGTAATGCTGACTTTTCTGTTACTTACATTCTTTATTTTTTTC